AGACCCCTTGCAGTTCGTGGGAATGCAATTCCAACTGGAGGACAAATGAATAGATTCTAGTTCCCAAGTGGACAAAAATCTTTTGTTTTGTCCTCTAGATGAAGCTGCTTTGACGTCACATGCAAGTGAGTCTATAAGCAAGTTGTTCCTATTTATCATATAGTTTAATATTAATGATAAACTTTCACCCACCTGAAACAATTAGCTTTTCCAACAGAGTCCTCTTTAGCAACTTCATGACAATTTTCTAGGTCAAGCACTCTGATTGGTTCTTTATCCTTTGAAAATAATTGTAACACATTGAATTTAATGAGAAAGCTACAAGTCATTAAAAATTTCTATAGTAGTATGAGCATGTCTGCCAGTCTTCCTTATTTATGACACTTTTTTGTAATAATAATATTATACACAATTGCCTGTCAATTCCTTTGTTTCCTATTGTCTAACCTACACTACATTTTGCCATTTAGCACTATTTTAAACAACAGAGTACTGTTTGCTGATGTATAGGTGGCGTACGATGACGTAGTTTGTTTACATCCAAAATGTAAAATTCAAAAAATAAGCAATCTGAACTCAAATAATTCAAGATTATATTTATGTCAACAAAACCTGTAAATTTTAGGGCAAATGCCTTTTTACATTTTGAGATATCAGCATTTCAAAACTACAAAATCTAAACATTCAGTGGTTGGCATTGGTCATTTCTTTAGAAAATCTTGCAAATTCGGCACTTGATATCTCTTGAAATATTTAACCAATTGCCTTCAAAATTGCAGGAATTGTTAACAGGTATGAGTCCTTTTCATTTATGGGCTTGATATTCTTGTGTCTTGAAATTCGATTTCTGACTTTTATGCAAATTAGCTAAAAGGTAAACATTGGCCACCTCTAAGTTGGCGTTGAATCAACCTCCAAAAATCGACCTCAACTTATACACAGACTTTTAGTGAGTCTAAAAACTCACTTCTCAATTTTCACTGTTTGTTGATATCTAGACTGTTTATCTATAGTTAAGTAGAAGTAGACCTTGGTCTAGACGGTATGTCTGAGTAGTTAAATCTAGGGCATTATGCTGTGATAGTTGCCCGCAGAAACTGAATGTTCTGAAGAACGAATTTCCAAGGGCAGCTATCACAGCTAATGTCCAAGATTTTAACTGCTCTATTGTTTTTATCATTCAACAACAAAATTTTCTAAAGCAGCAGGCTCCATACACTGATAGTAGCCAATCAACATGTCACATGGTTGACTCTCCACCAATAAGAAGGGAGGAAAATTTGTTGTTGGAAATTTGTTGTTGTTTGCTCTTTCATGCTTTTAGTTTTTGAACATTAACTTACCCCTTTTGACTTATAATACTTGAGTTCATGTCTAAACAAAACGAACCATCTTGTTTTCCAATTCTATAATTATACATCAAGATACTTTTGTATGAATATATAAATAAGAATTATTGCTGTTATCAGTAAAACGTATTTCATAGCATGTATACACCTTATCCCGCCCCTCCCC